CCAAAAGACTCATGTAATGGTACAAGATCCCAATGATGAATGTAACTGTATTTTATACCTAAAATGTACCAATAAATTTAATGGGGAAAAAAAAACCCCAAAAATACTACATCCCCAGCCCCTACGTATTGCTTCAATAATATATGTAAAATAATTTTAATGATTCTATTTTACTTCCTCTATCTTCCCTAGATAAATAATGCCAGATGTCCACCAAAATCCATTTTTCCATTTTCCAAAGTTATTATAGGGCTTATCTTCTAGGGATACTATTTATAACTTCCATGTGCAATTAATTGTAGCCACATGGCTGAACTCCTATTAACAAAATTTGATGAAAGTAGAGTGTGTCAATTTTGGCTTAGACATTAAAATACACTCTGTTAGCCAGGAGTGTTGAAACATGCCTGTAAATCCTAGCACTCGTAGGCTGAGGCAGAAGGATCACAAGTTCAAGCCTAGACTGGACAACTTAGCGACCTAGTGGGACCCTGTCTCAAAATAAAAAATAAAAAGGGCTGGGGATTACCTCTGTGCAAAGACTCTGGATTCAATCTCCAGTGCAGGGGTGAGGGTAGGGAAGGAGGGAGGGAGGGAGGGAGGGGCAACAGGAAGGGTGGAACATGGGTTGCACAATTATTGCATTCACAAGAGCTGTCTGCCAACCTGTAGCACAGTAGCCTATTCCATGAAAGAGGAATGAAACTTTATCTTCTTTTTAAAATGGAGCCAATATTAGATGTCTTTGTTTCAGCAGGCTAACCTTATCCTAACTAACACACCTTGGATTCAGTCTCAGCTCTTTTAGATGGTAGCAAGGGTTTGGAGAACAGTTTAAGCAGCAGGTTCAATTTCTTGCCCCCAACTCTTTTTCACAGGGCACCAGACGAATGAACACATGCCATTCCTATAAGATTCCTTCTAGGAAGCCATCAGTTGATTAGGCAGCAGAACAATGTAAATATAAGTTATTGTCTACAATTACTTTGACCAAGGTCGACATAAAAAATAACAGATATATGCTTTGTTCCAGAAGTGCCTTTAAATGAGCCAAAAGTAAACATCTTTAAATAATTCACATTCTTCACCGCCTGACCTCATTCTTTGTCTCTAATACAAACCCCTCCCATCTTCTTTCCAGTCTCTCTCAAAGTGAAGCAAACAGGCTCAGGAACTTCGTTTTGAACAATGCCAGGAGGTGCCCTTACTTAAATAACTGTTGTTTCCCAACATGTTTTGCTATGTTAATATTATTACCATTAAGTACAGATCTTTTTGCAGGGACATTGGGAGGTAACTAAGTTTCAGCATTTCCTATGAAAATTTAACTCTTTTGGTGAAATATGTGCTATGTTTTTGGCTTACTCTACTCTTAGCAAAGAATGCAAAATATTCCATAGTCTTCTCTGCTTTGTCTCCCTGGTCTCCCTGACCTGTACGATATCTCCCAAATTCACTAACTTCCCATAGTCTGCTCCAAATATTTAACCTCGAGGCCCTGAGTTCAATTCCTGGTACCAAAAAAAAAGATATATTCCTTTTTCCATTACAATAGAGTCTCCATCTCAATTTTCCTTTTAGTTGATATCTTCCACACAAGACCTTTCTCTCAAATCATGAAAGGAAAGGATATTTCTTTTTCCAACTTTATATGTGGTAGGATTCCTGATTAAAAGGCCATTTTATAACTATTTCTGCTAGAATTCCCTCTTCCTGGAGTTCCTTGCTAAGCACTTCCATAGCAATCCTATGATCCATCTTGGGTTCCAGATGTGTCAAAGATACCTAAGTGTGTGTGCTGTTTCTCAGCACAGAGCTTGCAACATTTCCCAGCTCCATTGTATTTTACAAGACCAAATGACTAATTCTTATTATATGATTATAAGGGTTGCGTCATCCTTGAGCCCTGGCAGTTAAAAGAAAGTACATCTTTTCCATTCTCTTTGTAGGATGCAGGGAGATCTCAAGGACCTATAGGAAAGCAGAGCCATTAGACAAAAGAAGACTGGGTCCCTGAACCATGTTGGGAGCCATTCTGGTCCCAGGATGTTGTGATGCTCGAGGGCAAGATTACATCAGCATAAGATCCTTGTGAACTCAGGATTATCACTGTCCTATGAGTCATCTGATGCTCCCTATGAACCAACCTAATAAATAGTGGCAAGCTCAGAGTGTCTTTGTCTTTGCCTACTATGAGTCACTGACTTCCTGGCCCCCCATATACTTCGAAATTACACAAGTGTCTTTTTTTCTTTAACCCTTGCCATCCCTCTTTCTAGGCAGTGAAAGGATTGATAGGCCTCTGATTGATAGGCCTCTGACAGAATCACAGGTAGAAGGCTCCTGCTCAACATTTAATTAGTTTGTGATAAGCGCTAGAAATAAACTTTTGTTGTTTTAAGCCATTGAAATTTGGGAATTGGGTGGGGGGCATACAGGGGAGGGGAAAACATTGTTACTACACTGTAGCTTTGCCTACCTTAATTAATATGTCAGATAAGATTTTTTTCAATTGTACCTAAATATTCTTTGATTCAACTTTGGATTCAAAGTACTGTAATTATGTAAAAAAATCTAAATCACATAAAATATAAATTTCAAACACTTCAATGAAACACTTAACTGTAGTAATTTCTATTACTAATTTTTTTTAAAAAAGGGCTGAGGATTTAGCTCAGTGGTTCTGCCTCCTGCCACTCAAGTGCAAAGACCCGAGTTCGATCTCCAGTACAAGAAAAAAGAGACACATAAAGAACTAATAAGCAATTAACAAAAATGTTCCCCATGCCCAGCCAATAAAAATTTTTTTTTTCAAGTTACTATCCAGGTTGTAGCCACTAATATCTTCTCACTAAAGAAAGAGAGCTAGAGATTTAGACAATCTCATTTCTTAAGGATATGCTTTAATTGAGCTATAACATACAAACATACAGAAAAGTACAAAAATTGTAAGTATACAGCTTCATAATTCTTATAATATGAACACACCATCTCCAAAGAAGAAATAAAATAATGATTGCCTTCCAAATGTAACCTCCATGAATTAATATTGCCTGCACTTGAACATTATATAAATTGAATCATGCAATATGTACTCTTATGTGACTGACTTCCTTTGATCAATGTCATGTTTATGATTGTTTCATGTACTATACTTATTGACTTTAATTGTTATCTAGTGTTCCATTTCAAGAAAACACCAAATTTGTTTAATCATTCCATTGATGGATATTTTGGTCATTTGTATTCAGGGGCTATTATACATAGCGTTGCTATGAACATTCATATATATATACATATCTTAGTGCACTTATGAATGTATTTGTATTTGGTATGCTATAACTAGGAGTAGAATCTCAGAATCATACACTATGCACATGTTCAATTTTGCCAAATACTGCCCAGTTACTTTTCAAAGTGCTTGTACCAATTTACACTCCTGCTATTTGCTCCACATTCCTAGATAATTCTCGGTACCATATTGTTAATTTTTAAAGTGTCAGGTATGAAGTAGTACCCCATTGTGGTTTTAATTTGTATTTCTCTTATTACAAAGAGTCTAGAATGTTTATGAAATGCCTGTCCCAGTTTATTTGCTCCTTACTGGTAGAGGAAATCTGCTCAACTCAAGGCATCAGGGAAGCAGAGAACAGAGGAAGGGCCAGAGTAAAGACATAACCTTCTAAGTCACACCCCTGGTGGCCTACTTTCTCCAACTTGGTCCCCCCTCCTAATAGCCCATCCAGCTGTAATCTCATCAATGAATTAATCTGTTGATGAGGTTAGTGCCCCATGATCTAATCACCTTCCCAAAGTCCCACTTCTGAACACATGAGACTTTGGGACAACATTTTTTATCCAAACTATAACAACTACCAAACACTAAAACTTATTATAACACAATAATTTAGACATCGTAATATTGGAATAAAAATAGACACATTGTCACAATTCTGAGATCTAACTTTAGAGACAGTGAAAAAGAAGAAGTCCAGATTTGGGATCTATAAAGAGTTGTTTGCTATTTGTATGACTTTGAAATTTTTACTTTTCTTCATCTTAGTTACAGTAATAATAGCTGCCTTCCCTACCTGAGAGATGCTATGAGGATGAAATGACATGATGTATCATGGATACATGATGTATCATTAACTCAACCTTCAGATCTGAAATTACATTTCGTTTCCTCAAAGGATTTTTGCTTGATCTCCCAGTCTTGGGCTCCTCTGTTATTTCTCTATTATTTTTCCACTGTTCAGATCTCTCTCTCTCTCTCTCTCTCTCTCTCTCTCTCTCTCTCTCTCTCTGTCTCTCTCTCTCTCTCTGCTATGGATGGAATCCAGGACTTTACACATGCTAAGCACATGCTCTACCACTGAGCTACCCAACTCCTGTCCTGTTTTAATACCCTGTATGTATTTCTTCCTTTTATGATTATATTCATACAACTGCATAATACTAACACATGATTGTTAATATCAATTTTCAATCTAGAATGTAAGTTTTGTTATGACAAGAACCAAGTCTGTTTTAATTTGTTATTCACTTCTACCCTTTTACATTTTCAGTACCTGGCCTGATACCTTGTACAAGGCAGGTATCAACAAATAAGTCCTGTAAAACTGTTTTCTAGACTCCTTCTGCTATTTCTTAAAAATAGAAGTTGTTACATTGCCAACACTTTGCTTCAAAAAGGTCTGTCCAAATGGCTTTCTGCTGCTTTTATCGGGTAGATTTTTTGATGATCATTTTTTAATCAAATTTCCTCGGCTGAGGAAGGGTGTCTTTTGATCCCAAACCAGATTGGTTGAATCCAAAACTAAGTTCTAAATTTAACTCTAAGTTCCTAAATTGAAACTAAAGAAGCTGCATTGCTAACAAGCTCTGCAAGTAACTATTGCAATGGCGAGTTTGGCACCCACTCGTTTGGATTACATTCAAGACATTGCTGCTTTATCTCTGTACTCTATAATTTTTATCGCATTGCTCTGGGCCCAATTTTTCTCATCATCCTTGACCATGTTGCGTTCTGCTTTTGCTTTCAAGGGCTGCATTTTATTTTTGGCCACCTGCCCTCCAAGGACATCTGGAAGGCCACCCTGGTTGCCTAGTTAAGGAATTCATTAATCTCATCTTTGTCTTACTGGTCATGCTGACCACCCTGACCACAGGGGCCACACACTGTCACAACTCTGGGATCTAACTTTAGAGACAGTGAAAAAGAAATAGTCCAAAATTTGGAATCTATAAACAATTGTTTGCTATTTGTATGACTTTGAAATTGTTACTGTTCATCTTAGTTACAATAATAATAGCTGCCCTTCCTACCTGAGAGATGCTATGAGGAGCAAATGACATCATGTATCGTGCTAGAATTTGGTAAACTATACAATAAATAAATAAATAAATATTAGTTATAAATAATCTCTATCATCCAAATCTTTGAATGATGGGAGGGACTATTTCTACACTGCGGTTTTTAATAAGAAAAGACAACTTTCCTAGCATTGTCTTGTTCTTCCAAGATATAAACCAACTATTTTCTTCTCTGACTTGCAAATGTCCTGTATACTGTATCCCCGGCTGCACAGTAAAATATCTTAATGCTTTTGAGCCTTTTTATTTCTTAGTATTCATCTCTCTTGGTTATACAAACTTGCCTTGATAAAAGTAGTATTTTTCAAGCAATGGAAGTAGGAAAGTCTCAAGTTGACCTTTTGAAAAGCCAGAGTATTGGTCTATTATGTGACATAATGATTCCCACCTCTCTGATGAACTTTAATTATCTCTTCTCTGTAGTATATCACCCAATCCTGCTGATTCTATTCACTAGCTCCTAATTCCTTCCTCCTCTTTACTGCCATTGTCTTATTCAAATATTCCTCATCCTTAAGTGTGACCATTGTAATTCTCTCCTAACTTGTTTAAGTGCCTTCATTTGCTACCTTCCAGTTCTTCATACTCCCACTGGGAGTCAGCAATATTGTCAACAACAACAACCATTTTGTTGTTCTGTTGTCATTGCCTTATATATTTGTTCCTCAAAGGCATGTGTCATACTCATAGTAAAGCTCCAAATCGGTTAGTGGGAAGTTTACATGGATGGTACTAAATGTGTCTGTGTGTGTGTCTTTCAATTTATTTTCTTTTAGAATACTTTCTTCTTAGACTACAGTCTTGTAGCTTATTTAATCAGTTTGATGAAGTTTTATAAATTTAATCAATTTGATTATGAAGGTGTATTTCTTCTCAGAAATAGAAATACTTGCCTGGTCCTTATTTTCCTATTAGAAGCATATTCACAAGTTGGTTATATTTTATTTAAAATACACACTGTATTTCCTAAAATCCAGAGCAATTTCTATTAAGTATTCCATCCTAAATTTTTTTTTTTTTTTTTGTACCAGGGATCAAACTTGCACTTGCGAGCCAGGTGCCGGAACCACTGAGCTAAATCCCCAGTCCCCATGCTAACTTTTTATAGGTTTCTTTCAAAAGGATTTTCTGTAGGACAAGGAGGATTTTCTTGGTTCTACTTTCTTCCATAATGTAGCATATCCAACACCTATATCTAAGGTTAGATAACTGTTAGTTTTCAAATTCTTTAGGACATCTCTACCTTTAAAATGGTAGCTAATTCTCTGTCAGTGGAAACTCTAGAAATCTTAACTTCTCAGCATCAGAAAATTATAGCTTTTTTCTAAACATTGAGAATGCAAAATTGATTGATAAACGTAGGCAAACTATGAATATTTTGCCATTTATTCCTGTTATTTTTAGCATATTCTTGTTTGTGTTTACTTGTTAGCTAGAGTAATAATTCTAGTTTTGACATTTACATTCCTAGAGAGCAGGATCTAATTCTGTTGAACATACTCTATTTTACAATTTGGATATTGATATATGTATGTACGAATATTTTTAAAGTAATATTATGTGACAGCTTTCAAACATTCTTTCTGGGACTAGACACCCCCTCCCCCATCATCATATATGGCTAAGATAATTGGAACACTTTTGTTTTGAATAATCTTTCACTATTAAGGAGTTCTGACAACTGACTCTGCTTTTAGTTTTAAGTTAAAATTTTGTCTTTTCTTTGAGAGAGACCTATCTTTTTAAAAAAAATATTTATTTATTTATTTTTTGAGACAGACATATTTTGGACATATAGTCCAGGAGGGCCTTGAATTCACTATGTAGGCCAGACTGGCCTCAAACTTGTGGCAATTCTTCTGTCTCAACCTCCTAAGTGCTGGGATTACAGCCATGCACCATCACACCTGGCCCAGATCTATCTTTCTACAAATAAAAAAATATTGTTCTCATCAACTGAATGGTTACTTGTAATCTGAACTCCTCTGTGGGTAAGGTTCCACCTGACCCCATCATTTCCAGAACTCAGAGGGGAAATAGTATTTTATTCATAAAAAAAGAGAGACGGGGAAGGAGAAAATCCTTAAAGGAACTTTGCAAATAATTACTTTTATTATGAAAACATTTTCCCAATCTTGTCAAGATTTGAGCAGATGGGGACAGTAGAATTTCTGAGTATGCTCCAATGATTTCATGCCCCTTATTCTGGCTGAGATGTGGACAGTAGCCAAATATTTTCCTCTTTTCCCCTAAACACAACCAAGAGCCTCAAATCTGGTGCACATTCACCATAAACATGAACATTTTAGAAAGTATTCAGAGAACTTCAATATGAAATAGGAATATTTTGATTATCAATTTCTAAAAGCATAAAATTTAAGACTATGTGGTTGAGGATGCTAATTATTATGCAGGGCCCATTCTCCCCTTCTTCCTTTGGCAATGAAACTTCTGAATTTTATTTTTTTGGGGTACCAGGGATTGAACTCAGGACCTTCCGCTTTCAAGGCAGGCACTAGAACCACTGAGCTAAATCCCTGGCCCCTCTGAATTTTAATTGTTCAGATGAAAGTTCCATTTCCCAGTCTCCCTTGCTGCTAGTCATATATGATCGACTTCTGGCCTCTGGTGTTTGAACAGTAATAATATATGCACCTCTCAGGCTACCCTTAAACTGTTTTTATTCCCTGCTGGTGCTAACTAGAAGGCAGAAATGATGCTGAATAATTGGGGCAATATGCGCATGAAAAATACTTTGTGACAACAAGATGGAAGAAATCTAGGTTCTCACACAACCTTATGGAGTGAAGCTCCCCTTATAGCCCTGAAACACCAACCACCAAAATGTTAAATGAGATGAAATTAAAGAAATAAATGTCTATCTTGTTTAAAGTGTTGTTAATTTGGGTTTCTATCTAGCTCCTGAGCTATAATATAACATAGGTCCATAAGCCAATGAGTTAGATAAAATAATAAAAATACCCCTACACTAGAAGAAAAAGTCTTATATAAAAGCCAAAGCATACTGTAAAACAGGAAGAAAAGGTTTAAAGGGGAAAGGGAAGTGGGAGGAGTAGGGGAAAGGAAAGAAGGGAAAGGAAAAAATATTAGAAAAGGAAAAAATGGAAACAAAGTCTTTGTAAATAGAGAGGGGTGGAGGGGGTGAAGGGAGGGCAGGGGAAGGGGAAAAAATAAGAACCAGGATATATCATCGAGAGCTACAAGTTTCCAATGATGAATGTCATCATACTGTATACCCAAAATGTACCAATAAACTTAATGAATTTTTAAAAAAGCCAAAACACAAACCAAGCAATAAGAAGAGTAGGTCTGACTAAAGCAAGGGCAGAAGTAGTTGCAGGGACCAGGAATCCATCCTCTCAAATCCTTGGCTTTTGTGTGTCTCCCTTTCTGTTCTCTGGAGTATTATTCAGAGATAGGGATTCCTTGGAGTCTTAGAGTTTTCATGAATAATCATCTATATATCACTTATATTATTTGTAGCTCTAATCAGTGATACCATTCATATCTATTGCCTAAATAACAAGTACCTAATTCCTAGTTGAATAATGTTTAAGTTTTACTTAGTACTCTCAGTTTTGATAAATATCAATTTAAATTAGATACTGTTTTTTCCATGGTAAGTAGATTAACAGTTGTGAAAAATTTATTTCAGCTTCCTAAATACAGATATAGAATCCTCCTTCCCTGCCCATATGAAAATAATTGTTCAATAGTTTTAAAAAATTAGTTAGCTGGGAATTAGCTCGGGGGCACCATGCCTGCCTTGCAAGCTTGAAGTCCTGGGTTCTATCCCCAGTACCAAAAAAAAAAAAATTGGTTAGGATTTGAGTAAATGTTGTTTAAAATTTTTACTTCTGGTGTTAAAGAGAGGATGAAAAAATTCTGAACATCTTTCTGAGTTTTAGTACAGGTTACAAAGATGTCTCTTTTTCTCACCCACTTTGAAAAAATGATTGACAATCTACAAGAGCCTAATGTCTAAGTAATACTCTATATTCCATCACTCATGCTGATTTATCACTGATGACTTGGGCCTTTTTCTCTGAGGACTGTTTTGAAGGTGAAACTAAACACTGAGTATGAATAGTCTGCTACTTTGACCAGACCCAGAGCCACAGTGTGTATTAAGATGCAAGACATATTGTTACTAAGAGTGAAAAATACAGTGCTTTTCTAAAAATGTGTTCATTAATTCCTGGTAGACGACAATTAATTTAACATGAAAGGTATTCATACTTTCTTTATAATTTTTGTACCCTAAGATTAATATAAAATTTTATCATCATTAGGAGAAAGGAGTAAACACAATTTCTTTTCAAACAATAGAAAAGAAAAGCATACTAAATAGTACCAATCAATTACATGTTTTATAGGGATATGTTGGTAAATTACTATCACTTGATCTTACCCAAAAGGCCAAAATGCAATCTGTAAATTCTTATCATTATGTAGAAAAAAAAAAAAAAAGAATTGACATCACTTGTTCAGTTGATTCAGTTTGAGATCCAAATCCCCAAATTGGCATCACAATGCTGAAAAAGTTAATTTTCTTTCTTTTCTTTTGCTCTTTATTCTTTTTTTCTTTCTTTTGGTCTATCCGTAGTATGCTATGATGCTTCTGGAAATACAGCTTCAAGGGCAAAGAGAAATAAACAGGGTCCAAGCTTCTATGATGCCATAGCCCTTTAATCACAGTGATCCTAGTACAGGAGAAGAGCGGGATGGACGCAAACAGCTTCAGGGAACCAGCTACTTTGGTGCACTAAACTGAAGCCTCTGAGCACATTCTACTTTAACAATGGCCACAGAGTCCTTTATAAAGTATTGCCTCATCTTTAATATTTTAAGCCCGATGCCTTAAGTGATAGACTGGTTATTTTCTTCTCTCTAGATGATTCCTGCTTTGATGGGTTGTTTTATGTCTCAGGGTTTCAGTACCTGGTCTGCTGGGTACGGCAAAAACATTTCATATTTGCCTGCTGAGATTTCTGCACATTTCTGACAAGCTTTTGGATTTAGGTTTTCTCTCAGTGTGCTTTTTTGTTCTATCTCAGGGTTTAAAATAATTTTCTTATAAATTCTCAATTTTTTTTTCTTATTGGAAGTGAATGAAAAAAAGTAAAAATTTCATTGTAGTTTACTTTGACCTAAACAATATAATAGAAGATCTTTTGAAATCTATAATCATTAGACTTTTATATCTTACTAAGTAGATTATTATATTATGGAAAAATTATCATTTGAAATAATATTTTCTAAAATTTGCACATACCATAGTAGATGCTTATCAAGTTCCTTTTTTTGTTTGCTTGTTTTAAAACATTGTCTAGCTGTGTAGTTCAGGCTGGCCTCAAATATGTGGCAATCCTCCTGCCTCAGCTTCCCAAATGCTGGAATTACAGGCATGCACCACCACTCCTGGCTCCAGTTTATGTTAATTAATTTCTTTTAGGCCACTAGGAGGCTCTTCTTTTCCTACACACAAAATTATTATCATGCCACAGTTATCCTTGAAACTCTCATAGACTTTTATTACTTTTACAAATTTTTTGTTTGTTTGTTTGGTACCGGGAAATCAACTCGGGACCTTGTGCTTTTGAGGCAGGTGGCAGAACCACTGAGCTAAATCCCTGGCCCTTCATAGACTTTTAATAATCATGCTTAATGAGCATCTGAAGTTTTAAAAATTTATGATATCTAAAACTGGACTTTAAAACTCCATTTTGTGTTTATTATTGGGGGGGTGGGGTGAGGAGAATCATAGGGTATGACTAGAAGCAAGGATTTTGTCATTACCCAGACCTGTGTTGGAGCTGCAGGTTGGAGCCAAGTGCTGAGAGGAGTTGCTGAACATCTCAGTACACAGTTTCTTCACCTATAAAATGTAAAAAAAAATACCCTTCTCGAAAGGTGCTGGTGAAGAAATGAGACACATATAAAGCTTGGCACAGTAAAACTTACATTGTGAAGCTTCAATAATAAACATTATTATTGTCATTATTATTATTGAATATTTGAATTGTCAGAGGAGAAAAACCACATGTTTTAACATATTTATAAAGGTATGTCCCTTTGTACTTATCTATACTAAATTACATCTTTCTATATATGACATGAAAATACGATAAGTCTATTATTTTCTAAAGAATACAGTGAAGCAACAGACTTCACCAACATTAAATTACCAAATGTTATTTATTAGTTACATGTGTAAGGAACCATGACAACCCCAGGGGTTGTCAAAAATGAAAAATCCTAAAACTTTATATAATCTTTTATTTAATCCTTCTAGGGCTCCAGATATTAAATAACACTAGTTTAATTTTTCCTCTGACTCATTTTTAAAAATTTTTATTAGTGCCTATTTGCCATACATAATGATTGTATTCATCATAGGGAATTTGTACCTGTACATACTATGTCTTAATTCTTTTTCCACCATTTACCTCCCCTCCATTTAACCCTTCTTCCTCTTCCCATTTACAACAGCTTTGTTTCCATTTTTTCCCCTTCCATTCTTTTTTAAATACCTTTTCCCTTTCTCCCCTTCCCCTTCGCCCCTCCCTTATTCAAATTCCCATTTGAACATGTTCTTCCTTCTTCCAGATATCTATCTTCCATTTTGTTCCTTATTTACCCTTTGAGTTTCTCACACAAGAGAAACAATGTGATATTTAAGCTTGTGTGTCTGATTTATTTCACTTAACATTATGGTCTGGAAGTGGGTCCATTCACTTGAAAACGTCTTGAGTTCTTCCTTCTTTATGGCAGAGCAGTACTTCAGTGTATATAGAAACCACATTTTCTTTATCAAAACATTTGTTGATTTGCATATGGGCTGTTTCCAAGATTTAGCTATCATTAATTGTGCTGTGCTATAAACATGTGTATACATATATCACTGTGATATGATGCTTTTAACTCTTTTAGGAAGATACCCAGAAGAGGCACAGCTAGATGCCCCTACTGAACCTCTAGTTTTAATTTTTTTGTTGTTGTTTTCAATCAAGCTTTTAATGAAAAGATCATAAAATAACAGTTTCTCATCACTGTACATTAAGACTGCACGCTTCTGAATGGAGAGATCAGTCATCAGTGAATTGTTTTTCTACAACACTGGAGGACTGCATACCTGCAGCTCTGACCTGAATTTATCCAAATTCTCGAGGGTGGCAAATTCAATGCGATGAGTGACAATGGCGGTGGTCAGTACAGGAGTGTGATCCCAATGTCCCTCCCCCTCTCTGGAAGGGCGTAGTAGAACATGATCCCTCTTCCAGTTCCACTGAAACAAAACAACTATTATCCCATCCCTCAAAGCCCATAGAAAGGAGGAAATGATAAAGATCAGGGCAGAAATCAATGCAATGGAGACTAAGAGAACAATACAAAAAAATCAATGAAGCCAAGAATTGGTTCTTCAAAAGAATAAACAAAATTGACAAACCCTTAGCCAATCTTATCAGAAAAAGGAAAGAAAAGGCCCAAATCCATGCAATTAGGAATGA